AGTACAGGAGAGTACTGAACCTTACTAGCCTGACGAATATTGGATAGCAAGATTATTGGCAATCTAATGCCAAATACCCCCTTGCACTAATTCCCAATCTCTCAGGAGTCAAACCAAAAATAACTCCATTTTTAAATTATTTTTGACGTTAACATTTTTGATCGTTATGATCCTTGGATAAAGAATCATGTGCAAGAGGTCTATAGTTTGATATGAGTGGTCTTAATSTTTTCCCACATCAGACGTGACGGTCGTGTCCTTCACTTATAAGAATTATTTCTTCGTGCCTCGATAACGCTTGCATATTTTAGTTGTAGGCCAAATTGGGAACCAGCCCATAAGGCCCTGTTACACGTTGAAGCTCTTAGCTGAAGCTTGTGTGTAACGCCGTTGCAAGACAAGTTTCACGGGGGTGTTAAACGGCGCAATTGCGTCCTGAAATTAAACATGTTCGCGAYACAAGTTTCGGTTGCACGACTGCAGTTCTACTTTTCGTGAAACTTTCTCGCGACGAAAGTTTAACAATTTAAATCGTGTCGTGTACCCGTGAAATTGTTTTGGAACGGTGTAACAGGGCCTTTGTCGCTGCATTTTACACCCAAATTAAAAAAAAGCTTATCATAGACCTTACACTCAAGTCACTGCAACGAAAGAATACATTTCAAGGTAATGGTCCGTAAAAAGGTCAAGCCAATAGGCTACGTTGCGTGAACTGAAAGAAGTCCCCCCGGCTTTGGCCACCCCACATAGAACGTACACTACCCTAATTTGTTCATACTAAATCGTTGTTTATATTGCATGTTGCTGAATGCATGATTGTAGCTCGTAAAGAAGAAAAGCGTAAACTGGAAATATTGCATGCTGGAAAATCATTAGAAGGTAACAAAAATTGTGGAGAAATATGGGAGGATTTCCCTTAAGAAGAAGTCATGTAGTACTGATCTGGAAATGGAAAGCGTTAAATAATATTTTAACGATGAAATCCTTGCATCGCTTGTTTGCGCATGCGCATAGATACAATGTTTTTATTTTCCCACTGGTCAGCCGTTTTTTTTTTGTTGACTGCGCATGCGCATTGCTACTTGTAACTTCGGACTTCAATATCCACATTGAAAAAGGAATCAGGCATAAAATTCGATGTTCTGGCTTGAAGTTGCATCAATGATACGTATAGATTGTATGCATGATTGTTTTGTTTGCTGCATGAATCGATAGAGCTGGTTAGCCTTGGAGCACATGTTGATCCGCATGACATCACTGTGAATGGACTGGCTGAGACTATTGAGCCTAAACTAATGGAAGAAACACACCAGGAAAGACGTAAGCATTGCATTTACTACTGAAGTATAACCAAGATATATAGTGCATGTATTAATGAGGAAGAGAGAAATTGAAAGAAAAAAGGGGTAATAGATCTATTTTGTCTTGGTGCAATGTTTATCCATTCCAGACCGCGTGTCATTGAGTATCTTTGTCTAAAGGCTGCGCATTGGAAGACATGAATATGGGTACAATTCGAAGAAACAATCTTATTCTCAAGAGAAGTGCATGGGGTCTGATATGGGAATACATTGCAGTAAGATAAATTATGTTTATATATGTCGCGGAGAAAGAGAAAGTGCCTAAACAAGAGCAAGCAAAAACTTTACCATATTTTTTTTTCTTTCCGGCAGTGATGCTTCAGCAAAACGGAATCGAAGACCCATACCCACTAGACGCCACCATCGAATACGAGCATAAGAAGAAACTTCCTAAACCAATCATAGCCACAGAAAACAACCCTAAAGACAAGAGCTCCTTTAGCTATGAAGACCCGGAGGACACACGTTATGACTCRAATGACATGCCTGAATACGATGTTGAGACTAAGGCCGACTTTACGGCCAACCAGGAGGCAGCTGATTGGCTGATGCATGACCCAAACAGATTTAACGTAATGCCTGATGAAGATACGAAGAATTTGTTTTCTGATGACAAAGAATCGAATCGTAAAACCAATGATGATCCTATAAGGCTTGATGACAAAGACAAGCAAGATTCGGGATACCAGAACTTGAATAATGATGATAACCAGGAGATGTATGCAAAGATACAAGAATCACTGGCTCCTGATAGCAACATGGAGAAAATCTATTCCAAATATGAAAAGTTTCTTAATAAATTTGATCAAAAACTTAAGGGAATTAACAAAAATGTCAAAGACGAAAATGACTTTAGTGACGTTGGAAATGACGTCAATAATGTTGCAGAAAGTGACGTCACGACAGATGAAGATAGTGACGAAAATGAAAATAATGCTGATCCTGACGCGAATAGTCAAAGGATCAATGTGATGACTTCGCTAGAAAGCAGCTTTGAAGGTGACGATAATAAAGCGAAAACATCAAAAGTAAAAGAGATTGTTTCGGACGAAGAATCGAAAATAAAATTGTTAAAGCATTTACAAGAAAAGATCAAAATGAATGAAGAAAAGGAAATTGAAAACAGAAAGCATGAGAAAGATTCCACTGCGTCATCGAGTGGCAACGGGAAGATAAATAAAGCAGACAGTGCTCGTCATGACAACAAATTAGATGATCAAAGAAACACATCGTCTGGGAAAAGTGGCTCATTTCCATCTGACGAATCGCCAACCAATGTTCTTCCTGTATTTCGTATAAGCCACCTGCACAAACCGATCACGGAAAGCCAAGAACGTGATGTTAGTCCCAGGGTCGGTGCTTMTTCTACAGAAAAAGGCACGTCAAGACAAAATGTTGATATCAATAGGTAGGTTCAATAGGTAGGTCCAAACCCAGTCCTTGAGCGACAGAATTTTACCCCTGGGTTCCCGAGGATGATATCTCGGCCGAACTCAAAGACAAATCCTGCATTATAATATAATTTGAATGCAATGCGTTTATACAATATTTCCCAACCGTCACTTCTTAAGGGGCTCTTCCGTGAGGTTCGCTCCACACTCACTTCCCACATTGGAGAGAAGACACCGCAGCAGCGAATACTAAAATTTGTTATACTCCGAATTTTGATCTAAAAACGGTTTCGTAATAGCCACATTTTTGAGGGGCAAAACAATAATGGAATATTTATATGCTTTTGGGGGGGGGNGGAGTTCATGCCTTGCATGAGACCCTAATTCTAGATATTACACTGAATATCGAATATGTGCTTGTACCGTTGTTTTGTAGGGGATCTTTTGGTATGAGTAGATTTTCACGACTGTATCCGAGCAATAAATACGGCGGCATYGCGCAGATGATGCTTAGTACACCCAGTTATGAGCAGCCACGTGTACAAGGGATTRAAAGTCTAGTGCACGCGAGTCAAAAGATGCCACGACCGCAGTTACATCCACAAGACCCTGAAGATGGAAAAGGAAGGCATGGTAAGAAAATGATTCATTTATAGTTATAACATGATTCATTTTTCCCTGTTAGCAGAGTCTCTCCTCTTTTTCTCCCTTCTTTTAGGTGGGGAGGAGGGAGAATCTCCCGATGAAGATCGTTTTCTTTGATACACCGCAACCGAAACCAGTTTTAAAACCGGTTTTTAACCGGTTACATGTAGTACGCATGAGCAGATGTAACACACCGTGGCGCCAAACGTTGTTTGACGAGAGCAGCTGTCAAAATCATGACAGCGTTGCTAAGTTACGCCACACAGGCGCGACAAGTATAACGTCCTACATCGGCAGAGTCTATTTTTCTTACTCCCCAAAACAAAGGTAAAAATAGGCTCTGCTAGCATGGAAGATTCATTTATAGCCAAATTTGAAAAAGTGCTGAGCACGTAGCATTCTTAGAACTTGGATAAAAAGCAAATAAGCAAACGCACAACAAGTGTTTGAAACTGTACTTTTTACGTTCTGCACATCAATGCTCTTCGTCGGTGTTTGTGTCCTTCTTATTCACTTTGATTTGACACACCCACGCATTGCCAACTAGCAACCTCGAGACAGTCATTACAGTCGTCATTACCATTCTAAGAAAACCTAAAATATTTGGAATATTTACAAGTGATGGTTAACTAACTAAATTCAAACCTATATTATGTTAACCAATGATAATTCTAATCAAAAGGTTAAATTCAGATTAAACAAATCTTACAACTTTGGCCAATCAGATTCAAACGTAGGCGACCAATCAGTTCTAAACGTGTTCAACCAGTTAGACCAAAGACTTTATAACCTATAAGCCATTCATAATCAAAACTTAACACAAAATACAAGAAAAAAAACCAAACAAATTTGATTACAAAATTACATATAGAGCTTTCGCAATAAGAAAATATAACCCTTTACCTCGCAATATTTCCACATTTCAGACCACGTGTCATTTTTCAGAGAATAAGATTCTTCGTTTGAATTTTTGAATTTTATCCATTTTTATCTGCCTTCTCTTGCATAACCGTCAAACAAAGMAATAATACTCCTGGGAATGGCACTTGGTCTGAAATGGGCCCACTGAATATTACGTCCAAAGTATAAAAGGGGTCTATTCTCCAATCTCATATTTGCTTCTTAAGTTGCTRCATCGAATGTTCTATTTAAGGTATACCCACACGGTTCGGTGAGTGGAACGGATGGTCCGAGTGCTCGGTGTCGTGTGGCAGAGGCTCGCAAATAAGAGCAAGGATATGCCTACAGCTTCCTTGTCAGAGCAGGGACTTGTATCAAACAAGAAAATGCACGAGAAATATTTGTCCAGGTACGTAGAGAGCTAGGCTYTGCAGCATCACATGATGGCAGCCATAACAGGAGGCAGGAGCAAGTGAGTCTGATCTAMTCTGATTTACATTAGAAAGGATTCCGGTCTCATAGGAAAAAGACTCTATAGACCCCTTACGTTAAAGCATCTCGATTTGAAGGACAAAACAAAATAATTTCAATCTCCTAAGAATTGGAGACCTATTGTTATGTCCTCCAAATTGAGCTGCATTGTGACTTGCTGCAAGAGTCCTAATGTTGGGCCTCCTGTCATGGCTGCCATCACGTAATGTTGCAAAGCCTCTATACTATTGTATAAAACCAAGGGTAGTGTAGCAGTAGCAATAGTGCACTCGCCTCTCGAAGCTTCTCGATCTCACCCCTCGAATCTCGGGTTCATTACTTAGTCTCGGAAGATGATAGGGTTTTTCTCCTGGTTCTTCCGCGTATTCCTCTAATCGTAAAACCCAACATGCCAAGCTCCAATTCGGTCTGTGAGTTACCTGTGCCCTAGTTGTGATCAGCCAAAGCCGGRGGTTGCATCAGGGTACGTGCAACACCTTCCGCAACATAGCAACACACCTTCCTTAAACCCATGGATTTTAGTTACTTTAATTTAATTACTGAATACAAAATTACATGTTTTCATGTCCAGGAAAATGGCGGAAGGAGTCACTGAAAGCTCACAACATCATYCGTGCCCTACATCACTCGCCGCCTCTTGTATGGTCGAACTCGCTCGCTCAAAAAGCCAAACAACTCGCAGACAACTTGGCTTCTCGAGATTATATCGGCTCACAAGATCTCCACGAAGAAAACGGCGAAAACATTGCACAATTACGTRACATAAAAGGCAGTGACTCACTTGCACAGAAGGCGGTGGATCTGTGGTACAACGAAATTAAATCTTATAGTTTCTCGTATCCAGAAATGAATCGTGAAAACAAACATTTTATCCAAATGGTTTGGAAAAAGACTAAGACTCTCGGAATGGCGTCTACGCAGAGTCCTAGTGGAGAGTATAACTTTGTTGTAGCTTTGTATGGAGGACCTGACATTGATAATAAACTCTTACATGACAACGTGTTTCGTGCAGGGCAGAAACACGATGTCTATACGACATTCAAGAGAAGTAGGGGACCACATTAGACAAGCTAGAGAGAAAGTAATAGCATAAGAATATTAAACAACGGATATACGAACTATTTGTATGCTGATGTTAACGGTATATAGAACCCTTGCAGCACGTCAGAATGCTGCTCAATTTGGAGGACATAACAATGGGTTTATAATTCTCAGGACCCGGTTGTACGAAGCTTTGATAGCGCTATCCGGCGGATAAACCGTTATCCAGTGGATAAGTCGATGCTGTTATCCAATAAATTTATCCACTGGATAAGATTTATCCGTCGGATAGCGCTATCCAGACTTCGTACAACCGGGCCCAGGAGATTAATATTCTTTTGTTTTTTCCTCCAAATTGAGCTCCTTTGACATCACATGCAAGTGGTCTACCAGAGCAATACTTCTCGGTATAAGTGGAACTCTCACGTGCATGTCTTGTCGTGAGACATCGTAATTGGATAAGCAATAATCATGAGTTCTGATTGGTTCATCGCGGATGTCAYTGTACAGCAAAGTAGAGTCTTAGTAGAAGAAAAATAAAAAATGAAACTAATACAACATTATTACACATATCGTTCATTTTACCCAGCATAACTACGGTCGGAACCTCTAGCGCTCTTCACGCCAGAAGGCGCATAAGACCTACMATCACATTATTATCCCCGCYCGTTCTGTTCTACGACACCACGTTAAACGCATTCTTCACTGTCCATTGTCGCCTTGTTTCTCACTTTATGAACTAGTCCGATCTTCGTTCACTTTCTCTCTCCCTCTCTCTCTACGGCCTACTCCCTACGACCCTCTGGCGTCCAACACAACGCTCTATACAGTCATTCTCACAATGTTTATTTTTGGTGGCTGCTATGGGCCCTTATTGGCCTTTAGGTTTCCATGGTTGACCAGAATAGCACCACTCCTAGTTTGGGTTGTATATATAAAATCGGTTTTGATTCTGTGAAAAGGCACTAAATATGGGGTAGGGTCGTTAGGTCGCCTAAACTAAATTTCCACATAAATTTTTGTCAGGTTAAGTTATCGACCTAGTGATTTTTCAAGTATTTTAGTATTTAACCTGTTTCTAAGTTCTCAAAAAAACTTACCTTGATTCTCCTATCCAATGAAAACGAGACTTCATGTTGGCCGAGARCAACCATCAAAGAAAGGTCAAGAATCTACAAAAAAACTTTCACTAACATATGATGTAATATCTCAATTCGTAGAATTCGTTGCTTTTTRACAGAGAAGACTGAAAACTCGAGGAAGACGGTAAGCTATAATATAAAAGAGCCGGTGATTTTTTTAATAACCCGTAAAACGAAAACTACCTATGAATGTGTAATATCTAAGCGTACGAAAACAAAACGATGGAAATAAGGTTAATACATGTAAATATCCAAACACGCAAAAAGAAAACGATGGAAGTAAGATATATTACTTTTACTAAATATATACATATTTATCAGTCATGGGTTAAGTAAAAAACTTCATAAATCTATCATTTTGATCTTAGCGAATTAAAATCTTCAAGAAAAATATGAATGCTTCTAAATAAACGAAAATAGCTTGTCTGATGAAAAATGAAAAATAATATATTTTATATAAAGTCAAAGAAAAAATGTGAAATACTTTGATGATTTTTGAATTTATTTWACTGTCCGCTCATGTCATGGCCGCCATTTTGTTGTTGTTGTTGTTATTATTGTCGTAGCTGATTGTGTAATTACTTAAACCATGAAAAAGTAACTGAGCCAAGGTTCTTTGGCCTTTACTATAATAATGTCTAARCATATATCTCTGTCTCACTTTTTCTGGCATATTTTTTTAGAATCGAAGAATCATTTTGTTGAACATACGAGACATCCAAAATGGCGTCGTGAAACAAGTTAAASTCTCAAATGAAGTAGATCAAGAAGAGACAAAAAAATGGATGTCTATTGGGTCTCAATTAATCAGATAACAATATTTATATTGCTCGTTTTTCTCGAACGTAAGTAATTTAAAACTTTAAAATGATTTTCTAAGGTTGATCTATTGTTYTGGATTGCTACTTTTGTTAAATGTTATTTTGAGAAAAAGGACCACTGCTTTTTT